CAGATAGTAGTGTTCAACATTTTAGTATTTATTGACTTTTCTGGGCATTGTAATTAATTTCTTTTTATGTTAAATTGTCATTGTATTTGGACTTTATATGTAAAATTGTATTCAACCTTATTAGTGGTTTCTTTTTTCTGTTGGTTGCAGTTAAATAAAAATTATCTATACCAGCGTAGATTGTGGTGGGGGTCATAGATTGTATCGTTGATAATGTATCGTCTTTGCTGGCGTGGAGAGACCCTGTATAAATTGTTTCGTTGGTAATGGTATAGTACACTGGTGTGGGTGGACTATTCCTAGTTAATTATTGACGGTAAACGCGGTACAGTGTTCGTGTTCGATGTTATGCATACTGGGCATGGCACTGGGAACTGCACTTTGATCAGAACGAAACGTCCATCTTGATTTTCTGAGGTAACCCGTTTTGATTGGTGAACTCGTCTGATAGTTTTGCTCCATTTCTTTGCCTGGTAAGTTTTAATATGTGGCATTAATGATATTTAATATATCTGGGACAAGCAAGTAATGTAACGACTGTTTTACATGGTTTTAACTCCGTAAAATTTTTATCTGTTGGTTAGAAATGGCATTTTGCCTAGTATTGGCAAAGCATGTTTCAGCTGTCGGTTATTTCAGACGTAAACCAACGACCCGCCAGTGACATATTATAAAGTTGCCACGATTATGCATTATATCTCAATTTTATCAATTGCCCGATTTGTTATTTAAAAGGTGCCTGAATATTTTTTAAAATGTAGTTCAAAATTGTTTATGAAATAGTGGAAAGACGCTCATATTAGATTATCACGTGTGTAAAGGTCAGTGAGTCCGTTCAATACACCACACGGTATCAATACTCGAAATCAACAAACTATCGTAAGGACAACATATAGCGATTAAACCAGAATTGGAGGGAAGCTTCAAGTTGTAATAACTTTTCAGTCAATATATCGACGAACTCAGATTAGACAAAAAGGTTGTGGTTTCCGCTAAGTGCGACTTTCATTTTACTATTTTAAATCTATGAAATGTATATTATTTAATTTAATTAATTAATGTATTTATTTATTTACTCAACGTACAGCAGTATGGTATTTACACTCAAGTTGAAAAATATATCAACTTTTTTCATTATGAATTAAATAAACTGGATTTAGAAAAGCTAAGTTAAGATAAATGTTGTTAACACTTAATAAGTAAACTTGTTTACATTCATTGGTCAGCTTTTCAAATTCTGGCACACTTATTTTACTGAAGTTTTTTTTCCTATAATTAAGATTTTTCCTTGGAAATACTTAGTTTGTTTCAGTACCTGGAATTTTCTGTGCATTATATTTTATTACACGATTTTTAACATATACTGCACGGATATTGATGAATGTGAGGTGGACTACAGCGACACCTACACTGGTATGTTTTCGTTAATACTTCAATTCAAAACCCGGCGATTAGTTTGAATGTGGATTACCAAGAACTTAGCACATGTTTTTTTAGAGGACCCTAACAATGCAAGCCAGTCTAGCTGTTGTAAAAAGCTCCTATCTAATCGTTCTTCACACGTTAATAGATCACTACATAGCCTTAAATTCGATATAAGTGACTCTGACTATTACAGCAATGATTTTAGAACACAGTTATGATAATAAGTTGAAATTTCGTTCACGTAATGCCAAATTACGCAAACAGGAACCAACAAACGACCCATACACAAGTATTATCTTGCGACCGGACATGAGTCAAGGTGTATGGACTCTTGTTGACCATGAGGAGTTTGGACACAGTTGGTGCAAGCCATGCATGACCTCGGTCACGGATGCACCTCAACCCAATCACTGATCTTCTGTTTCGAACTTTGATCCCTCATGTATCAAAAACGCATCCTGTCCAATAAATGCATATCAAGACTGGTGTCATTGAAGTACCATCTTTTAAATCTTGAAATAACATTGTGGTGTGTTTGTAGACAGATAGAAAAACAACCAGTCAGTCAGACAACCAACCAGACTTCAATACAATCGTAGCTAATTGTTAGCTGATGGGAGGACTGTATAATTTATCTTTAAAAATAGTCATTTTTTTTCTTCAATTAATGCAATGACATAACATGTGCAGTAAACACGGAATGACTGTCAATGTTGTTATCGCTTAAGATCAAGGTTTACAACACGTACCACTATTATCTGTACAAGAATGTATTTACTCATAATGTGTGCGTGTATGGAGTGTTGAGTGACCTGGAATGTGTATGTGGGTTGCGTTTGTGTATTAATTTAAATGTCACATTTTGTATGATTAAACCATTTTAGGTACAGATCAATCTTGTAAATAATTTTATAATATAAATATTGTATTGGTCTTTGAACGGCTTTAAAGAAAACACACAGGCCAGCGAAAAAAAAAATACTATAAAAGCACTCGTACATGTACTATAAATCGGTCAGTTTCGCATTTCTGAATTTCTAAAGGCAGATGAGAAATTTTCTTTTCCCTAATCCTAAATTATTGCTTATAAATTTGTGGTGATTTCATGCAACCCATCGGACCAATTAAAGTCATGTCTTTTCATAGCGCAATGCATGATAGCGACGGTATTTACCGACTCATAAAATGATTTCTAAATAAATATTAACTTGTGAAAACGGTACAAAGTGAGTAATTTGCAGTTTAAGCTTATTTAGCGGAAATGGAAAATGAACCCGGGTCGCTTTCAATTGAATGTGACCCGGAAGTAAATAGAAAGTTTCAGTATTTATTCATACTAACGAAGAGCGAGACATAATATGTAAATAATTATGTTATAGTAAAAGAAAAACTATGTTCTATATGTAATATTAAATTATTTACCAAAAATGACAATTGTATCTTCGCCAGCCGGCTTTAGCGAAACTGTGCGGACGATGAATGGATTGTATACAAGCTATATGAAACAATTATTTGAAAAGGTATTTTCTGTCTTTTCAGTAATTATGTATTTATATATAACTTACTCAGTGTTTCTAGTGTGTTTATAAAATAGTTGTTGTTACCTATTTATTTATTTTAACTTTATTAAGTTTAGTACTTTTTCTAAAATATAATGTTACTGCCATGGTAAGTATTAAAGTATAATATGTCATTTCACTTGTATTGATTAGAAATAACTTAAGCGTGGAAATGCAACAATAAAAAAAAATTGTTGTGATAGATGATTATTTGTAAAAATGATAATTTATTTACTTTATTACATATATTATTGTTGAGTCATATAAAATATTGACATATAAATAAATGCACTAGAATATAAAAAAAATAAATGAAAACATAATGAAAACTTCGTTAATAGCAATTGAACGGCAGTAACGAAAACAAATGATCTCTCAAAGAAACTCCAAACATGTATCAATTTCCCGTCTGGTAGGAAAAAAAAACAGATTCTCTGTTACCCAATCAAACACCAATAGTTGCGTTCACATGCAGGTTCTTAGCCTGTGCCAAGAAAACGTGAGTAACGGCTTAATACTAGCTTAGTTTTTAAGACCCTGTCTAGCTCTTCGTACGGGCCTAACGAAGTGTGCGCGAGCGCTCAGCTCGTCCATGGCTTGGGATAAGCGCCTAAAACATCATTGTATTCAATGCCCATTTGAAAGATTTTCTATTAATTTCACAACTTTTCATTTCTGTGTGCCATTTCCGATATGACAATCAACGCAAGAACACCCAGAGGGGGAAGGAGCGACATTGCACTTTTTAATGTTATTATCGTAATACTGTTTCTGTTTGGGAAACTATTGGGTATGTTCGTTTTTCTCCGACATTATTGTCCAATACTGTCTAATTTAGACACCCATTCTCTGATATTATTGATGATATCGATATTATATCGATATTATCATCTAGTATTATCTGATCTATACATCTTTGTCTGGGCAACTATTGGGATTTATTATCGAAAACATCGAAGAAATCAACGTAGCTAAAGTCGATGCAGTAGTTGAATGGGATGTCTAAATTAGACGATAATATCGGATGAAAATGGATAATGAGTCTAACGTGGCAAAAAACATAGACAAACTTAAGACAATGATATCGGATAAAAAAATGATATTAAATAATATTATCGATAATATTGGCTGAAATGGATAATGAGTCTAACTGTGAACAACTGTTAGACTTAGATTTAGATTTTAGAAAAAAAAAGTGGCAAAAATCTTAGACAAATTAAACAATGATATCGGATAAAAACAAAAAAATTATATTAAATATTATTGTCGATAATATCGGCGAAATTTTTTTATTAGATTTTGTTTGACGATAATTATCCGATAATGATTTATATGGCAATGTCCCGCCTTCGCGATCCGTAGTTTCTTCCCGTGCCAATCTGATTATAGACTCCAATTTTTTCATATTTTTTTATTTCTATTTTTTTATTGTTATTATTGTTTATTTGTGAATATTGTTTGGTTTTACTTGCCGTTATTAAGTTTGTTTATATATTATATCCTGGTCCCCATAATTCGGCTTTAACAATATCTGAACTTGAAGAAAATGGCGAAGTTCCGTTGAATGAAATACTATATGTATAAATTGGTATAGCGTTGAAAAAATATCATTTCAATTTCATTCCAGGAGTGGTAAAATGGCGAGCTCCAGAGTAATGACAAAAAAAGAGGCCGCAAGAAGAAGAGCAGATAATATTGATTTTAATATCAAGCTACTAGAAGCTACACTAACGCATCTGAATTTTCTGGAAGAAATCAGCCAGAATCGCTTCTTAGAAAACCCAAAGTTCATCACGTATGCAATCAAGCGATATGAAATGTTTTGGTTACCACTGCTCGCATCACAGGGGTTTAAAGCCGAGCCTCTCGCGGCGCCGATCGATATAGAATGGGTATGGCACGCGCATATGTTAGCCCCTCAGGAATACACCAAAGATTGCATAACCGTAGTCAGCAGGGTGCTTGATCACCGCGTCATGTCGAAAGAGGAAAGGGTCGCATCGAAGCAGAGGGCACGAGATTTGTGGGATGATTTGTATCCAGATGAGAACTTTGAAGTGGATTTCGAGGACGAGCAAACTTTGCGAGATATCAACTCGCCATATCAGACTCCGTTCGTTTCGCGGATATTTTATGATTTACGATCAGCCCTTGAACGTCAGAGGGTGTTTAACTATCAAGTCAGCCTGCCGCATTACCGAAGCTTGAAGTTCCTCGAGTGGGCATCCGTCCGGTACAGGCGGTTTCTATTTCTAAACGTTCGTAACCCCGGAGAAACGCTGGTGCCATGTTTTGACATCGCCCTAATTTGGCACGTACACCTTTTGCACCCTCATATGTACAGAGACGATACTACCGCGTTGCTTGGCAAGGTACTGCCACACGACGACAAGCAATTTATGCGTCAAATCACGGACCGGTTTAAGGAAGCGTTGGAATGTACATCGTCTCTGTGGCAAAACACGTACGGGGGAGAGTATAACTGCCGGGGTACGTCATATCGAGGCGACCCACCAACAGACATACAGCAGTACGATGTCTCTTCTTTTAAAACGGACTACTTTATCTTAGTTATTGAGAAATTATCACTCAGGGCGCCCCCTTTAGCCGACGACTTCATATTGAGTATGCGATTTCTTGACGACAGCAAACTATCGGGTAAACGATTCCGCAGACGAGGATTGGTAATTGAATGGGAAAACAAAACACACGATGATTTGACAATGTTTGCTTTTCGGGAGAGTAAAAATCCAATGTTACAGTTTAAGTTAAAGATGATAAAACTCTTAGGAAGCGAGACTATTGGCATGATGATTGTCCCCGTTACCACGTTCATGGATAAAACTTCGAACAGCCATCTCATCGAATACACAGCCATGCTCATGGACCACAAGTCGCGACATTCAGGAATCAAGCTAGATTTGGCATTTCGGATTCTGCCGGATATAGGGCTCACCAAAATGAAAGTGAGATCAGGAGCTTTTTCTATGAGCGAGGCTGAGAGTATGTACGGATTCGGTGGCAAGGACGACCCGAGACGACAGTCAGTGAGGGCCAGCTCAAGGACTGACCTTAATGCTGTTAGTCCATCGTCCTTTCAAATGAGACAAATGTCTGATGGAGGCACTAAAGCAGCAGTTCACGCGTGAGTAAGCCACTAAAGTTACGTATAATTTATGCATGTATAATTCCCATCTTTGCATCCACCGTTACGTAATAAGCGCATAAACACACTATTCAGTATACTAGTAATTCCTTTGCTCAATACTCGCATCATTTCGATGTTATTAGCGTTGCGAGACGAGAGACTATTTACATTGTACCACACGCGGGGGACACCTGTTGATTATATATTTTGCAGGTCTTAAAATATTTAATATATATAATGGCTTCCAACTAGCGGTCTTACATACACATACGATATTTTTTTTGTGGAGGTTATGGCCGCTGACAAGTTTGCCGATTGGGATTGCGTGATCAACTTCAAGAAATTGAAATATGATACAAGTAGCACATCCAAAACAGTCCAGTAAAAATTGACAATCATGAATAATAGACAATGTAAATATTGAGTTTATATGTTGTTGATAAGCGTGGAGCAAATAAACGAAATATTGAAATTGTGTTCATTAAAAAAGTAACGCATGTATAACATTTTTTTCCATTGTAGCGTTATCAACCAACTTCACCAGCGTGTGTTCACCGTACGCGTCTTTCACAAGACGACGTACGATGCTGCTAGAATCGAGATCCTGGACCACGATGGTTATATGGTGGCACTTTCCGAAACTATTGATCCACACGTGCTTCCGAGTTATAAACAGGTGAATCAAGTGACAGACAACACTGCAATATTTCATGTTATGTTAATACGACATATCAAGTTTCTCGCGTGATCTCACCAATAATTTTACTTGAACCACTTTCAGTTGTGCAAAAGTAATTCTTTGTTTGACGTGACATTGAAATCAAAAGTAAGAATGGAGGCTCGCAAAAAAAGTTCATCAAATATTCCAAAATGTGCAAATCAACGCTACAATGTATGTTAAAAATATCCAATTCTCATTGTTTTAACGCACTATAATAAAATAGTTTATAAACGTCGCTTAACGTACACTGACAAGAAATGCCATTTGTGATTGAAAAATATCAAGACGCAAAATAAATTGCCTTAGTAAAGGTTGTTACCAAACAAAATGAACAGAACACAACAAAACGTGTTGTCAGATTTGTTGCAAAAGACACATTTGATAGATTGTTGGCCTCATTTGCATACATTTGCATACTTGTTTTCACGTAATTTGACTGAACTTTGAGTGACGCTTTCGTCAAAAAAAATGAATCACTTTCGCACAGCCATCAGCGTAAAATGTAGCTCACATCCACGTATTCACGCTACTGTTGTACAATGTTCAAATCGTTATTAACTTATTCGACAATTATTCAACATTCTGCACTGCGAATAGGGTGTTAGGTGTGTCGACTGTGTTAAAACTTACAATGTATGTTGTTTATGTTTAACGATGTGTCTTGACATCTGTGTCTTTGCTTACACCAGATATTGGACACAGAAGTGGAAGAGCGATGTACGCTAGAGACAGGGGAAAATGAACGCGCCATGATGATCAGGGGTTCCCGAAGTGACTGGGGCATCTGCCGCGGGAAATGGACATCGAGTGGTGGGAAGGGCCACGATGGTCACCATGGTAATATGAAGCCGATGTTTCTCTTCTTTGGATTGTCGAAAAAGATGGAGAGAAAAAGAACACTGTTGGAGAGGAGTGGGCATGTGTTTAGATTAGCTAACGTACTAACTCTTGACCTTGAACATGGAAAGCTACGAATCAAATGCCCCGATTTGTCCGACGCTGCCAATGTAGTAGCATTAGCCTTCTCCGTCGCTCTTCTACCGATTATGACGAGTCCATGTCGTGAAATCAGCTGCCAAGACAAGAAATCCTTACTGCACAAAATCATCGAGTTGCCAATGGTTACATTATCTGGATATGATTAGAAATGAGCATTGTGCACATACTATATACAATATATCAACAATTTGACAAACAGCCATTCTGTGTAATCGAACACGTTTAATTGGGGCCGTTGTAATATTTCTCATCCATTGCCAGGACCACGCAAATGGATTTCAGTCAAACACAACAACGAGCGTTCAACTCACATGGCATTGTCACGTTAAACTGAGTCATTTTTAGCTGTTTTTAATTTTGTTTTTTGTTTTTTAAACCACAGTTAGAAGTGTACAGAAACAATCTTTCCGTACATATTTTCCACGGGGTTGGCTCTCTTTTAATTAATATATAATATTTGCTGACTTGTATATTGCTCACTACTAAGTATTATGAGTTGGTATCACCACGTATACAACAAAGGTCTATCAGCGTGTTTTGTAATTAAACGTTTTTATGGATGAGTACATTTCAGAGTAGCTTTCAGTGATCTTTCAGAATCCTGCTGTTGCCGAGTAACCCGTGACATAATGTTAGCCGGTACAATGAGATACACCTTGAGGTTCCCAGTACAATGAGATACACCTCGAGGTACCCAATACAATGAGACACACGTTGAGGTACCCAGTACAATGAGATACACGTTGAGGTACCCAGTACAATGAGATACACGTTGAGGTACCCAGCACAGTGAGATACACGTTGAGGTACCCAGTACACTGAGATACACGTTGAGGTACTCAGAACAGTGAGATACACGTTGAGGTACCCGATACAATGAGATACACGTAGAGGTACCCAATACAATGAGATGCACCTTGAAGTACCCAGTACAATGAGATACACGTTGTGGTACCCAGTACAATGAGATGCACCTTGAAATACCCAATACAATGAGATACACCTTGAGGTACCCATTACAATGAGATTCATCTTAAGGTATCCAGTACAATGAGATGCACCTTGAAGTACCCAATACAATGAG